ACAAAGTGGCCGTGAGGGTCACCAGACCCAGCTCAGGGCTTGGAGGGTACAAGGATGGCGGGACGCTGCCGCACACACCTCCATCTTCGAGAGCTGTACCTGAGCCCCGGCTCCCTCCTCCACCCCGGACACCGAGCCCGGGGGCAGCCCCAGCCATGCCCAGCATTGTGCCCTCCCTAGTTGTGAAGACCCGGGACAGCAGGCTATTGGCCCCACCTCCTCTCCCAGCCCCCAGCACCATGCCAAGCCCCCTCACTGTTTCCCCCCCTCACTAGAGCCACCTTCGCAGGCCCAGGGACCCGCCTCTGGCTCCGCAAGGAAACTGGGCTTTGATGTCTGCCCTGCCCCCACCAGCTCCCCCCAAACAGGCCCTTTGCTCCTCCAGATGCCGGAAGCAGAGCGCCGGGACGCATCAGGAGCCGCCGTCAGAGAGCTGGGGAGGAAGCCCCGGCTCAGGACCCTCGCGACTGTGGGGCTGGCACACCCTGCTGAGGGGCACGGCTGGCGGTCACCCCGTCCCTGCCCTGCTGCCTCCTTCTCCCTCCTGCCTCTCCTCCCTTCCTGGAGAGAACTAGTCACTTCCTCCACTGGAAAAACACTGCCCCATCCCTTCTCCTCCCCTTCTCCCCTCGCCTTCTCATCAGACGAGGGACTCCATCCCCCCTCACACCGCCTATGCGAGGAGGGAGCAGGGGGTCACAGGGACCACCACAGCATGGACCCCTGGAGTGGGGGTCCCTCCCGGTCACAGGAGCTCAGGGGACCCCACCACCAGCTAGCCCTCCACGTGACCCAGCCACCCACCACAGCCCGGCCCTCGCCACACAATGCCACATCAACCTTTCAGGGGAGGCCGGCTCCTCGGGACAGGGTCCCACGGCCTCCGAGCCAAGCCCTGCAGGCAGGGCCACTGACCCCTTGGCCCAGGCAGCCTCACCTGCCTGGGCACCTGCCCCAGCCCCACAGGCCAGGAACCCCCTGCAGCCAGCGAGCCCCACTTCTTTGGAGAGGCGGAGGCTTAGGAGCCGCCCGCTGAGATCAGACCCCCGATTCCAGCCCCGGCTCCCCACGCCTGGGCCCAGCCTACCCGCACCTGCCTGGATCGGGCCGTACGTGGCACCACCTCTCAAGTGGTGCTGGACCCACAGGCCCCCCCCACCGTGTGGTACCGCTCGCCCCTCTGAGAGGGGCAGGTTGAAGGTCCACTCAGCAGATGAGAAGACTGAGGCCAGGTGCCCGCTCTGCCCAAGAACACCCACAAGTGGGAGAGCAGAAGGAGCTGCTCTCTTGTGCCCAGGCAGGCAGAAGGCCACTGCCCAGCCCTGACTGGCC